AAAAAACTCATGTTGTGTATTTGGTGGAGCTTGGTGTCGTGTATTATGAGTTGCTCAAACCGAACGAGACCATTACTAGGGCTCTCTACCGAACACAATTGATGTGATTGAGATTGAGCCGAGTACTCAAGGAAAAACGTGCCCACTACTACTCCAGGGATGACAAAATTATTCTCCTGCTATGATAATGCTCGACCACATATTGCGGCGCCGGTCAAAACCTATTTAGAAACACTCAAATGGTAAGTTCTATCCCGCCGTATTCTCCAGACATTGTTCCTTCCGACTACCACTTGTTCCGATCGATGACGCATGGCCTGAGCAGCACTCACTCATATAAAGATACCAAAAATTGTATCGATGATTGGATAGCCTCAAAAGATGAAGCATTCTTCCGACGCAGTATCCATATGCTACCAGAAAGATGGGAAAAAGTAGTGGTACCGATGACCATTACTTTGAATAAAACATTATGTACCGTTCTTTCACAATAAATGCTTAATTTTTGATAAAAAACGGCGGAAATTTATTTGTACTCTCAATATATTTCTCAAGTTGCTAATCTTCCCTCAAGGAAGATTGCGGGTCCCCGTGCGCCCTTTTGTTGAGGACTGCATACGCCACAAATGTTCGTCTCCCAAATATATTTTCGAAACGTTCCCTTCACCTTCGTTGATTTCTCACTAACTTTACAAAATGTTCCAAGTTCCTTTGTAATCGTCTCGGACAGCTCATTAGTTTGATGAGCGTATTCCTCCTCAGCCAGTTCGCAGGCATTTCCTGGCTCTTTTATTGCTTGCCTTCACTATTGGATTGAGTATGTCCTTCTCTATATCATCAAGGACCTCTCGTCTCCATTCCTGTAGATTCCTGATGAAGTAGTGGCGTTTTGCGCGGTCCATATTTCTAGACTTATTACTAGAGTCATCTGAAGAGTCCTCGCTCATCGAGATAACTTCCCGGGCATCTGCGCTCCTCTTCCGGGATGTTCCAAGTATTGGTAAGTTGTAGAGATAGTGCCGACCTCATAGAAGAAGCCATCGAGGCCATGGATTCCGCTCGTGACATATTGCCCATAGCTGACGTGTTGGAGATTGGAATGTCTTTTCTCATCACTGTTGGAAGGGGGGAATCTCGGTTCTCGGGGTCTCCCGGCGTTCATTCTTCATGTAGCTTGAATCCGACAACCCTTCCATCATAGCCATCAAGACTTCTGCTGGTATAAGCAATTCCTCTTGAGACATTTCGCCGCTTAAGTGAGGTTTTCATCTGCGCCACCTCGTAGGCGCAGCAGGTGACCATAGGTTTTTTTATGTTCCCGGAATCTAGGTTTTGTTCTTAGCCATCAGTCGGAGGCCTCTATTCAGTAGTTTGATCCTTTCCATTCTCGCCGCAACCGTAGAGGTTGCTTCCATTTCATCAGAGTGATTTAAAGTTAAATGTTTCATGGATTCTGCAAACAATGCGAACATGCCCTTCCGATCGGGGGGTGGATATTATATATATTATATCACCCGAGTAATTACCCGGAAATTATTACGCGAGCTATCCGGCGGATTGGAATGAGCATCCAGTCCTCAGTCCACAATACGGTTTCATTCCTGTGCCGCGGGGCCTCGGGCAAACGGGGTGTCATCCCCGGCCGCAAACTCTCTTGGGAACTCCAGGCCGCGTCATTCCTCACATCTCTCCGAAGAGAACAGAGTCTGCGGTCTGAACACCCCTGTGGAGTGCTCTGTTGTACAGACTTCCCCTATTTAACGGAGCTACAGGATATATTTAGATCTCCTCGAACTGGCATCCCCCGACCGGCTACCCCGGACAGCAAGAGCTGACGGCGGCCCTGACCGCGAGGAACGGCCTGAGAGGAAGTCCCTTCATCATGACAAGGTGCCCCGAGGGGGACTCTAATCTAATTTTAACCTAACCTAACCTAACCTTAACTTAATCATCCCCGAACTTACCCCGTGTAAGTAACTTCGAGGACCTAATTTCGTAGAAGTAACTTCACTGTCCTAACCAAAATCCGGTTCGTCGACCTAAATGTCGAAATGTCGAAAAATAGTGGAACTAACCCAAAATTTTCAAATTTTGATAGATGTGTATAGTTCGGATTTTTTTGTCACCCTCATTTTTGGTCAATTTTTGAGGGATGTGGGACTTGGAAAAAAATTCCAAAATTTTTCAAAAATCAATCAAAAATTCATAGGTCCAAAATGCATTTCTCGACCTCCTCTATCGATTGACATAGTCTAATTTTTATCGATTTTTCCCATAAAACTTAGAAAATTATCAAGGAACAAACTTTGATCGGCTGCCATATCTAAACTATTAATGTTAGATCAATAGTGTATAGCACCTTTTTTGTTTTTCTTGACGAGAGCTATTCAACAATGTACTTATACCCATCCTAATCTCAAATTTCGAATTTTTTCCAAAAAAAAAATTAGTGTTAGAACAAAAATGTATAGGATCTTTTTTGTTCCCCTTAAACAGACCTGTCCATCGACTGAAACCTATCCTAAACTCAAATTTAAATCCCAAAAAAAACTTCAATCAGCCATTTCTAAACCATAAGGTTTAGGTCAATAGTGTCTATTACCTTTTTTGATCCATTAGTCGAGTCTTACAAGATGGGCATACATATTGAAAGTCATCCTAAACTCAAAGGTGTACATTTTTCAATTTTTCAATATGAAATGCATGACTGACAATTAAATGGTTATAGATCCTTGTAGTACTTAGCAAGCCCCATCCATCCATGAAATTCCGAAAAATTTTCTACAAGTCCGTAAACCTGAATGATTGCTTCGTAAATCAGACTGTCGTATTTTTATACTGAATTCTATTATATTCTCTCATTTCGGAATGGAAACTTATCGAATGAGTATATTTTTATCAAGTTTTGTAATGACATCCATATTCTAAGGCTACATTTCAAAGAAAATTTTACTCGAAATACTGTAGTACATTACATGTACATTACATGTCTTATACATACAGAGTGTCTCTTAAGATGAGTCGGAGGATGAGTCGATCCACATTGAGGGCGGAGAATGGATCAAAGAGAACAAAAAATTCTTCTATTATTTTGAGGTACTCGCTGTAGTTTTCGAATTAGAAAAGGAAACGTCTAAGTCAATATGTGGTTAAGCCGCGCCGCGCGAATTCATAGGATGGCCCACACTCGAGCGGTGGCAGCAGCGTGCAGAGAGAGAAAAGTAGCGCTTTGTTGCCTAGCACAGCCTGGCATGGCAATCCCGCATCGCGCCTTATTACATTATCCAAAAATGTTATTTTAACTGAAATTTTTCTTATCATTATAAATCACGTTATTTAGCCCGATTAAAAGCACAAATTACAGATGTGTTAGCGATGTAATTAATTAGAGCATTACGCAAATCGTATGCTAATCGTCGCGATACCTTTCTGTTTTATTATTATACGCCATTCTATTTTCTGAAAATTTTTTTCTATCTCAGTTCCAACGACATTCGCTTCGAAAGAGAAATATTCCAATGATATTCACTATAAAAAAGAAAAATCATTTTTTTCCAAAGAGTGTTTCACTCTTTAAAAGTGCATGGGCACGTATAAAAAAATACGTGTCGCTTATTTTTGTCTGGAGAATAACATATTACTCATTAAAATCGGAGAGAGATAGTTGAGTCCCTTTCCTTGTAAGTTACAGAATTTTTTAATGTAATGAACATGGGCATTAAATTTGATGGATAGTTTAATGAAAATAAACTAAAACACTCAATTTTTAATTAGTGTTTTTCAATACATTTAAGTTTTCAGTTACTACAAACTTAAACATCTCATTAACGTGTACATAAATAATCTTTTCAGTAACAGAAAATTTAAATTTTATTCATCAATGAACATTAAAGCTTAATAAAATTTAAAAACGTTTTTCATGTGTACAATTAATGGTGTATAATTAAACTTGTTGGCAAGAAACATATATGAAAAAAAATCTCAGTAAAATGCGTCATTATATATGGAAAAATAATACATTTGGATTTACAATGTAGCGGCTATCTATGCGAGCTTATATTATAATTTCAAGTGTACATGCATTAACATGGTCAATTTGTAAAATTTTTTCTTCTAATTGATCCATCAAAACTTTTAGAGAGAAAAACAAACGGAGTACATATATTATAGCTGCATTTCTCTTAAGGAAACGTTGATATTGGCCATAATCGTGGCTGTCAAAGTCTCGCTACAAATGCTTTGAAGCATTTGATGGACTAATTAGAAGAAAAAATTGTACAAACTGATTTATTAAAAAACGCTTCAAAGCAGCATCGCATTGATCGTACTTATAGAAAATTGTCACCATTGATCAGCGTCATTTTAATTTGATCAATATAAGAGCGAATCAGAAGTTTTTAGATGCTCATATGTATTAGTGCTCTTACGTTTAGTGTTCCTTAGTGAGATGCATATGTCAGCAAGATTATCGTGTGATGGTAAGGTGGTAATTTAAAAGATTACTTTGAATGATTATAAAATCGCATGACTGTAAAATGTGCAAAGCACATGAGCATGAAGTGCTGTGTGCCTGGTTGTGGGCAAAAAAGTAAAAAGGACATTTCATTTCAGGTAAGAATTTTTATATTTTTATATTTTTTGTATTAAATGTATTCCTGCACATGTGTTAACAATGTAAGATATGAAAGTGACATTATTTTTGTTTACATACCATTCATGTTCATATAAATTTCCATACATCGATAGCAGCGTGAGCGTGAATGCTTCTGATTCGTTCAAATATCATTTCAACTAAAATGGCGGCATCAATTATGGCCACAAATTTTCCTCGATGCCTATTCTAGTATAAATATAGTTTAGTGTCTTCTATTGTAACATTAACCAATAGCGAAGCATTTTCTAATCCAAACTCGGTTGGGCCGAAAACGCTAATGAAAGCTGTGTTCCAAAATTTATCAGTTCTGAAAATCTATAGTTTACGTCATGTTCGCTATAGATTTTCAGTACTGGCAGTAAATTTTGGAAGTCTGAGCATAAGATTGTCGTAACACTTACTTAGAGACTGAAGTTGTAGACAAGTTTTGTCTCTTAGAGACACAGCAATAAGTTGTATGTCATACGTGAAAGCTTGTGCGTTACTTACGTCTACAACTTCAGTCTCCAAGTAAGTGTTACGATAATTCTTGTGCTCAGACTCTTCCAAAATTTATTGCCAGTACTGAAAATCTATAGCGAACGTGACGTAAACTATAGATTTCAGAACTGAATAAATTCTACAATTTAAGTCTAAGTAAGTTACGACAATTCTTATGCTCAGACCCGAACACAGCTATAGACAGAGACGGCGGAGTTTGAGAGAGACGCTTGCAAATTAAGCACATCATGTTATCTTTTCCACTATGGGTGTTTCCGAACGCAGCCGATGTGATGTTGGAACTAACCTAAAATATATGCGAGAGAGAGAAATTTGTGAAATCAATATGTTATCTCTTTATTATATTTGGAATTTACTTGAATATTGACATATATGAGAAGAAAAGACAAAGTAAAACATTTTACATTTATTTTCCTGTAACATTTACATTCTTTATTAAATCACATTTATATTGCTGTCTTTGCCTTTTAATAAGATCAAGACTGGTGATGGGAGAAAAAAATTGGAAGGACTGGAGACCTTTCGTATATGGAGGTTTAGCTTCGATTATTGCAGAGTTGTGTAAGTGAATGAAAAATAATTAAAAAGTATTCTTACCTTATTGTTTGAAATCATATTTTAGATAACTCAGGTCGTATTCCGATATACATTGCCTATACTGAAAATCTAAATTCACATTACGTATACTGTAGATTTTCAATACTGGCAGTATATATTGAAACATGTCTTTAATACATACATATGCCGTAATAATAAATAATTTGTATTTCTTTTATTCCAGGTACTTTTCCTTTAGACACGACAAAAACACGCTTGCAAGTACAAGGCCAGAAGTATGATGAAAAGCTTGCACGTTTAAAATATTCTGGCATGATTGATGCTTTAATGCAAATATCTAAACAAGAAGGAGTAAAAGGTTTATATTCTGGGTAAGAGAGAATATTTTATTGTGAAAAGTAATATATTGTTTAATATTAAATTTTATTTAAAATTATTAATAATGATATTGTTTGAGATATAATAAAGATATTTCATTCAAATATAGAGAAATATTTAAAAAATATTTTATATCTTTGAGCTAAAAAATTTTAGTATCAATATATATCATTAGAATTACTTTAAAAATTTTAAACATTACCACTTTTTAAAATAATTCATTAATATAATTAAATAATTAATAGTTAATTTGTTTTATCAGGATTAGTTCTGCAATTTTACGACAAGCAACATATGGAACTATAAAGTTTGGAACTTACTATTCACTCAAAAAAGCCGCAATTGATACTTGGGCAACAGGGGATTTAGTCACAATAAATATTGTTTGTGCAGCATTAGCTGGAGCTATATCCAGTGCGATTGCCAATCCTACTGACGTAGTAAAAGTTCGTATGCAAGTTACTGGCAATGAAATAAATACATCTCTGTTTACTTGTTTTCAAGATGTATACAAATATGAAGGAGTTCGTGGACTTTGGAGGGTAATACAATCAATTTCAATATGTTACCACACATATATGCAGCATATGCACATACATATACGCACACACGCACAGTATGTGTATGTACAGAATATATACATAAAGATGTATAAAGATTTATTTTTTTTATGCAGGGTGTTGGACCTACTGCTCAACGAGCAGCTGTTATTGCAGCTGTGGAATTACCTATATATGACTATACCAAGATTAAATGTATGAATTTATTGGGAAATAGCGTTAGTAATCATTTTGTGTAAGTTTTTTTTCATTAAATGTAAATGTAACATAAAGGATATGTTCCAATATTCACTGCCAGTGCTGAAAATCTAGCGCACGTAATGTATACTGTATAGTTTCAGCATTGTTAGTAAATATCGGAACGCATCCAAAATATTTTTAATGTTTTTTGATTGTAATGACTATTTTCAAATTTATGATAACTATGGCTGCGTTTCACTTAACACTCAATGCATGAAATCATTTCATTCTTATCAAACATTATTAAACAAGGACGCTCACGAATATCGTTTTTATCCTTGTTTAATATTTGATAAGGATGAAATGATTCGCATTGTGGGCGTTAAGTGGAACGCATGGTAATACATATGCTTTTTAATGAAAAGTTATTTACAGAAATGACAGATTCATTATCAGTATGTTTAAATCATACCTATATTTATATTAATATGTTATTTATTATACTATTAATTTTATTAAATATTAGGATCGATTAACCCTTATCCGGACAGCTAAAACTTTTTTCTTTTTAAATATTATTAATGTACAATATCTGTATGATTTTATATCTGAAACTTGAGATACAGGAATTAATAATTGTGAATTGCTATTGTATAGAAAAATCTGATTAGTTACTTATAGTTATTTAATAGTTATTTAATAGTAATTTAATATTAATGTGCAATACAATATATTGTATATTAAAATGGAATGAAGTCTTTATTAAATTCATGTAGAGTGTGCATTTTTTTAACGCAATTTGTGATGTGAAAGATTAAATCTGAATATTAAAAAAAAATCAATTATGATATTTATAAAATATAAAAAAGAGAATATTGAGAAAATATTGAGATAATAAGGAAAGAAACACAAATTTTTAGGATTTGTATGACAAACTTGTAATAATAATTACAAAATTTGTCATACAAATTAATTTTTATTCTAAAATACATGTTCCATAAGAGTATGTATTATGTATTTTTTATTGAGTGTAGATTTTTGTCAATATTTTAGACATAATTTATCTCAAACATAAATCTAATTTTAGCTTATCTACATTCTAATATTTTATCCTTTAATAATTACTTAAAACTTTTCTGGATTATATTAATCACATCGCTTGGATGTTAATAACTCATAAAGCTTACATAGAAGTGTGTTTTTTATATCATATATACTTTTGTTTTTTTGCAACTTGCACATTTAAACATTATACTTTTTAATTTATTTTTAAGAATATATAAATGTATACAAGCGTTAATTTTTAATATTAATAATCAAATTGCTGGTATCTATTAAGCGAGATGATTAAAATGCACTTAAAATGGAGCAATAATTTATTAGTTGTTTGCACTAATAATAATTTAGCAAGATTGTTTTGATATTGAAATAATTAATCAAGTATTTATCTCTTTTAATATAGAAATTAATATTATTTGGAACTAACACTTCAATTACATTTTTAGTGTCTACAATTGTGCAATTTTTGAAGTATTCCATATGTCGCACATTGTCGCAGGAAAGGAGTAAAACTCTCTTAAAATTAAAATTTTATTTCCAGGTCCTTTGATATTGTCATGCGTATGGACACATGCGATAGACGGATTTTGAGATGACCAGAGAGGCTTGACACGGAAGCTGTGTTCGGCACTCTGTGTTTAGTTCAAGAATCGTTAAGACAATCATCCAGATGATTATACATGATAAACTACTTTGCAAACATCTTTTGATTAGCATTTTAGGCTTTCTAAAATTACTAATTATTCATCGTATACTTCCTAATTTTTCTACTGTAAATAGATCCTATTTTGTCTATGTTTTTATTTCTGTTTATGTTTGGAAACATATTTTTGCTCTATTAAAATATTGATTATCATCGCATAGACATGGTATTATACATTCTTAATTTTTTATAATGACTGGATAAGGGTTAATTTTGCTTTATAATATAAAATTGCAGCAAAAATCTTAAAATAAATCGAGAATATTGTTACTAATTACAATTTTGCAAATAATAAAAATTTCATAATTAAAAAATACTTTTAATTAAATTAACATAATTTAAATATATTATAGAATGAATGTGTACTTAAATGTGATTATATCTTTTAGATCTAGTTTTGTAGCTAGTATGGGAAGTGCTGTAGCTTCAACGCCTATAGACGTAATTCGCGTAAGTAAATTATTATATATTTATACAACATAATTGAAATATTTTTTCTTTCAAGATATCCTTTTCTTTAGACCCGATTGATGAATCAAAAGAGAGTGCGCATAGCTAATAAGAAGTCTTCATCATACATTTACAGTGGCAGTATAGATTGTTTGGTTCAGGTATAAAACTTCATTCTTATAATATTCTATGTTTATTTATATTTACATGTGCATATATACTATGCACTACTCAATCAAAAATAGGAAACACTTTAGAACACGCTCAAAATTGCGCAATATTCAGAAAATCGTAACTTGGTGAAAAATGATCGCAGACAAAAAATCAAAAAAGCATTTAAAAGCTTGAAATCTTTACTTTCGAAATTGGTAATTGATATTTCAATCTGACTAATTCTTTATAGAGATATACGGACACAAATAGATACCCGTCAAATTTGAAAATTTTTTACAAACAACTTTACGAAGATCTATGGCGTGAAGTAAAATTCACACAAAAATGCGGTTTACGGCAGTCGAAAGAATGAATTTTTATCTTCAATTTGCATTTTTATTGAGTACTGTATTGAGTATGATTTATTGAGTATGATTTTTTTTTATCGTGTTATTGAACGTTGAAGCAAAAGTGGTCATTTTTGCTTCAACAATCTCCATAAAGATTCACCATGGGAATTCCGAGTTACGGTGTTCTGAATATTGCGCAATTTTGAATGTATTCTAAAGTGTTTCCTATTTTTTGTTAAATAGTATATTTATATATTTATTACGCACATATGCATGCATGCACAATCTAGCATATCTATTTATAAGGAAAATATTTTTTTTGTATAGACGATTAAAAATGAAGGAGTTCTAGCACTATACAAAGGTTTTATTCCGACATGGTTCAGGATGGGACCGTGGAATATTATATTTTTTATTACCTATGAACAATTGAAACAGTTATGATGCATTGTCGACTATATTGAATATTTAAATTCCTCACTACAATAAGGTCTGGAAATATAAAAATCATTATATTATGAATTTAGCATTACTATCTGATATCAATCTCAATTGTATATAATTCTTTAATTGTGAAAATGACTATTGATTAGTTACCTTAATGCCATATAAAATAAGTAAACTTAAAGCACATAAATGAATTAGACACAGCACTTTGCAGCATTAAAATAATTGTAGAAATAAGTACAAAAACGAAAGTAATCAGAAAAGTTTAAGAGCTTTCTAAAGTACAAGCTTCCACAAATTATTTTAATTGATAAAGACAAGAACCTACATTCAATATATTATTATACAGTTACAGTTATGACACAATCATACACTGTTATATGTAAGTATTATTTCAATTATTTTGTCATTTTTATATATAATTCGATTCTGTACAGAAAATTTTTATATGTAAATCAATGAACAGTCAAAATATCATATGTGGAAACGAAAGTTCGAGATTGTTTGATTTGTAACAATGTTTTGTACAATACTAGTCATTGTTGTCTACATGAATATAATAATGAATCATTGTATTTCAATATTTTTACATAGCATTTACTGTCGTATTTCTGGCATACACGCTAGTCATTTTAAGAGATTATTGTAAAATTAATATAAGATAGTGTTGAGCCATATAAAATTTGGTTATTAATTTTTTGTGAATAATATATAAATCATAATGGCTAAAGTCAATTTTTTAAATCAAATCTTAATTTTTTTCACAGCAGTTATACAAAACAGTACATCTATATATGGATATAACTTTCTATTTTAATTTCTTTTCATGTGAAATAAATATATATTGATCTGTATGTATGTATGTATGTATGTGTGTGTGTGTGTGTGTGTGTGTGTGTGTGTGTGCGTGCGTGTGTGCGTGCGCGCGTGTGTGTGCGCGCGCGCACACAGTACAAATTTTAATATTCTTAATTTAAAGTGATACCTATTTGCAACTAAACGTTTAAGAGTTCATAATTCTGTATTAAACACAATGATATAATAGCTTATTATAATATGAAATTATTTATCTTTAAAGATAGGAAGACTGATTCACACATAGATAAGAAATATTTTGCAAACGAAAATGGATTGTAACATTACATATCACTGTACATATACATTATACAATATTTTAGATTTACTGGCACAAATTTCAGAAAATAATAGATTCTTACCAAAAGAATTAATTTTTGTTAAGGAATTCGTATCGACAGATTTTTAAGGAGCTACATATTTGATTCTGCGTGATATCTGACAATACTAGTTCACATCTTTTTTGATTTTGTTTTGTAAAGACATCAAAACTCCTGCACAATGTTGTCGCATGATTGATTAGGTCTTTAGAGCTAATGATCTGAACAACGATATATAATTCCTTAAAATGTATTAGACAAAAGTTCCTTAATAAAAGTTAATTTTTTAAATGAGATCTACAATCTCTTTATGTTTGTCTCAGATCCTAAAACATTTTGTATTTATACATAATTTATATAAAAATTTTACCAATGTAAAAATTGGTATTCTATTAAAAGAATATATATTATAGACCTGATACATTCAGCTGTACTTTTTTTATATTCAATGTATAAGAAATGTGTATATTTAAATAAGAAATATAAATATATCATTAAAGAGAAAACAATTCCAGAAATTTAAAAACATATAGTTTACAGAAAAGAATCTTTTTTGTTTATTGAATGTAAAATATGCACATATTTCAAAAATTCAAAAGTCTGTGACATTAAAAATCTAATACGAGCTAATTTAAAAAAAGAATCAATTTAAGAGCATACATTGTAAATATTTTTGTATGAGTATCATATGCTTGTAAATCCTTTTTTTCAGATTATTTTAAATATGCGACTTTATATTATAGTTCTAGAATATACTGTTATATATAATAAGTAATAAAAATATGTTAGGCCTTTCTACAGTCTATATATATTTACATATCTATAATTTTTCTTATACACTGATAATGATTATTTGTAATACTGTGTCAGTGATTATGACATTTCCATACGATGACTTTTCTATCTTTTCCACCTGTTATTATCAAATTATTATCTGCAGTTACAGCCAAGGCACAAAGCGGTCCTGAAAAGATGTGTTATAAATTGTCAATAATTAATGTATTGTGTAAATTCCATTGTGGCTGCATTCGGTTTGGACACTCGTGCATTTTAAGCGCTTATAATCGTTGTTCTATCTCTATCATTTATTATACATAAAACAAGGATAGAAGCATTGAAAGTGTCCAAACTAATATAGCCTTTATAATAAAAAGAAGATACAGTTAATATAAAATAAATTTAAATATCAAAATCTTTTACTATAAATTATTTTAGTAATATATGTAAATATGTATATATATATATAAGGTGTAGTAAAA